ACCCGACACCCCTCCGGTAATGTTATACGCACCAACTGGAGAACACTTGAACCTGCTCAGCAACCCTACTGTCACCACTGTCTCATTTTCTCTTAGGCCTGGCTGGACGCATTCAACACGATCCCTGGCATCGCCAGTGGCCACTGCCGCCTGAGACAACAGCTTCCTAACAGTTGTCTTCTGCCTTTTACCTACTACTGGGGATTTCGCCTGAAGACTGTATTGAACTAATCACAAACACTACTTTGACCGCTACAGGCCGACTGTTGGCGTGGTAAAGTGGCCCTTTAGCAGCCGTGACTATCTGGACGTGCATGTGTTTGAGAGGGAAAGTCAGTCAAGAGTCTTCAGGTCAGTGAGTCGGAAACAGCTGCCTGCGCGAAGTCATATGACGCTGACGTAGCGATCATTGAACAGGGTAGGAGTACGGCGTTGTTGGCTGTCCACCACAAAGTCGGTCAGGGGTCTTCAGGTCGGCGAATCACAAAAAGCCGCCTGACGTTGAGGCAGCAGACACTGAACAAGGGGGGCGGACAAAATTGCTGGGGGAAGGGAAAAATCGCATGTATGTCAGAAAGAAGTTCACAGGAGATGAACGTGGAGAGCACCAAATGCTTATCGTAAAAAAGTGGTACTATTTTATTGTTTCAACATGATGCCATTAGCCATTCTGTGTCACGGAACTTTAATTTCTTACACGGCCTTATTAATAAAGTTAAGATTCACCGAGCAAACAAAAGTCCAAAAGTGGGCGTTCTCGTAAGTATATGCGTCAGCGCATGGAAATAAGAGACCACGAGAAAATATTTTTCCCAAAGCATGATGTCGTGGGTAGTGGTGTCGACAACAGAAACAGGTTCCCCAATGCACAAACCAGGTAAGACAGAGTTGGTAGGAAGAGCTTTACTGCGCGAAAGGAGCTTTACAACAGGCGCTGCCAAACGATCTTAACCGCTGCGTCCACAGTCCCGTTGACTTCTTGAATGTGTGTTTGTGCATCCGCTGTTGCTGAATGTCCCTGGTGGCTTGAGCAGCCAATCAAGAGAAACGGCGCGCATTGATTGGCTTCGAGCTTGTGTGCGCCTCCAGTAGCGTCGACGGGGGATTGTAGGATATATCGGGCATCTAGCAGCGATTAACAACGCGCATGGAAATTGTCTGATCACGCACGAGCCCCAAAGGCTTGAGAAGCGAAGACAGGATGAGTCAGCGCAGCAGTACTGGGTACGGGCTACCACAGAAGAACCGAATGGTTCGTAACTGATTCATCTTTCTGTTGAAAAACTGGTCTAACAAATGTCTGGCATTTTAAATAGACCCCATTTTGGAGGTTATGTTGACATCTCATTACATATGCGCAAAATAAAAAGGTAAGAGGCGTTGAATTTTCCTGGCAAATTGAATTTACGCTGGAGCGTATCACAAATGTCAGACGAAGTGGTACAACTCAATTACAAGTCAAACACCTCCGCCTGGATGGACTTTCACTTGGTAGGAAAAGTGAAGATCAGTGTGCCCACTGCCTGCATATCTCCTGAACGTTTGTCAGCCGATTACTCAAAAATCACCTCGTGGTAGCAAGCGAATTTTGAACCTGAAAAAATGATAGAGCAGTCGCTGGGTATAGCTTATCTTCTCTGTAATACTGTTAGACTGTTTTCCCGACATACATAACTTTATAAGTAACGAAGAAGAAGGCTCGTCGATTGCCAGACTTATGGCTTTATTCGTCTGAGCTTTAGGTCTAAGTAACTTAACCGTTACATTTTTTGTGCTAGAGGATTGTTCGTTTTAACTCATAATCATGCCGTTTGTTTTCAGGACCAAGTTGTATTCCGAGCTTACTATATTTTACCTTCCTAGGATCCACTGCTAGGCAGAGCTAAGGATCAGAAAAGCTACACCGAGGAACGCACACGGCACAAGTG